AAGGTGGCACATTTTTTGCAGCGGGCGACTAGCGTATAAGGATTTTTTGGGGGGGTTCAATTTTTCAAGAGACTAGTCCTTCGCATTTGTGTGGAGGACCCACAACTATCACTTGTATAACCATTTACGAACGACCAGTCGTCCGTTTCACCTATACCCTAAAAACTAGTCTTAAAGGGGTGGACCATTTCTTAGAGTACCGGGCTCATAATACATTTTCGTATATCCTATCCTATGCCTAAAACATTCCACACTGTTATTGCTGCATGTGGAATATTTTTGGACTCACGGTGGAAACTAACGAGAGTGTGGTTCCACACTGTCATTGCTGCGCGTGGAATATTTTTGGACTCACGGTGGAAACTAACTAAAGTGTGGTTTTTGACATCCCTTAAAAATGGAACAATACATAGGAAATTAACGTGGCACCAGCGCAAGCATGACACATATAACTAAAAAAAAAATAAAAAAATTGCAAAGAGTAACTGTAGGCATAGATCCGCAAGCATAATGTTTGAAGAAAAAGATCGAAATGAGTTTTTCACACATGAGAGACAGAGAGCGAAAGAGAAAAAAAAATGAATTTCAATACCATAGCTTATAATTTTTCACTGCTTATGTAATCAACAGAGGACGGGTAACTCGGATGCATGCATGCATGTCAGAGACAGGAGCAGCGAAGTGAATTCACACCATTTTTTTTTTTTTTCCTTTGTCTCTCTCTCTCTCTCTCTCTCTCTCTCTCTCTCTCTCTCTCTCTCTCTCTCTCTATCTATCTATCTATCTATCTATCTATCTATCTATCTATCTATCTATCTATCTATCTATCTATCTATCTATCTATCTATCTATATCGTCACAAACATATATATATACATATATATATACATATATATATATACATATATATATACATATATATACAGGGTCACCAGCCCGTACGTACGGAGGTCCCCAGGCAGACCTCCGTACGTACAGGCGTTCGGGGTCCCGTGCGGGGTCCGAACCCGACGGCGTTCGACCCCCACCAAAATTTATTTCGGGGCCTAAAAATATATATATATTTTTGAGTTTTCTACGACATGAGGTACATGCCTGTAAATGTTCAAGTCATTTGGCTAAGCCAAATAAGATTTAAAAATCGCCAAAAATGGCAGTGTCAAAACGTGCTCGCCCACAAATTTTTTAACTTTTTACTTTTTGTTTTCACTTTAGTTCGGGGTCTAAAAACTTTTATTATTTTTTGAAACTTCTTTAGTAGGTTTTGTATTATGTGAAGTACACATCTGTAAATTTTCAGGGCATTTAGCTATGCCAAAAAGAAATGAGAAATCGCCAAAGATGGCGGTGTCGAAAACATGCTCGCGCACTCACTAAATTTAATTATCTTTTTATTTTTATTTATTTTTCTTATTAGTATTTGTTTTTCGTATTTTATTTTTATTTCAAATTTGGTAAGGAATTAGGATGTAATTCTCAGGCAAATCTTGTTTAATTTATTTTTTTCAATAACATTTTTGTTTTTCAGATTTTTTTAATAACTTTTTTTTTTTTTTTTTTTTTTTCTTTTTTTAGTCCGCGTTCGGCCCGAACGACCGAACGCATCCCCAAGGGGTCCCATACGTTCGGGCGTTCGGGTTCGGGCATTCGGCCCGTCCCGAACGCCGGTTACCCTGTATATATATATATACAGGGTCACCAGCCCGTACGTACGGAGGTCCCCGGCCAAACCTCCATACGTACGGGCGTTTGGGGTCCCGCCAAAAAATATTTCGGTGCCTAAACATTATTATTGCTTTTTTAATTTTGTTTTGTGAGTTCTCTATGACGTGAGGTACATGCTTGTCACCACCATTTGAGGGACAATACTATATCAAATGGTCTCAATATAGTCACAACTTACACGAACCTAAACAAACGTTATTGAAAAATGATAACTTATTATCTCATTCCGAATTTGAGGACCCTTAAATTTGTAAGGGATAAAGTGCAAGTGAGGAGAATTAACTTTTCAGTGAATAAAAGTGAAGTACTTAAAAAGGAACCCTTTCAAATCCAGTAGTGGAGCCCCTTATTACTCAAGCGAACTCCTCGGAGTATGTTGGTGGAGCATGACTGTAATGGAGATACTGTGGAAAAATTATGAACACACGTCGGAATAGAGTAGGCCGAGCAAATTATAGGTATACGGTGTACCGAAATTCTACTGCAAAAATTAATCTCATACCCAACAATTGTCAACCCCAGGAGCGCGACGAAGGAAGGCATGAGGAATAAGAGAGAGAGAGACACACACACACACACACAGATCCCAGTTACCAGACGTGCGGTTCAAATGCCTGCCTGTTGATAATGCATTTTATCGAGATAGTGAAAAGTTTCATTATTGACGAACAAACATTCAAACCCCACCCCATAGTTGGTGGGGGGTGCAGAAGAGAGAGAGAAAGAGAAAGAGAGAGAGAGAGAGAGAGAAAAAAAAAAAAAAAAAAAAAAAAAAAAAAAAAAAAAAAAAAAAAAAAAAAAAAAAAAAAAAAAAAAAAAAAAGTCGAGACAACGTCGACAAACTCACTGACTATGGGCATCACCACACCATTCTCGAAATGTACAAAATCAAAATAAACTGCCCGCTAGAATATGGTTAGCTGCACCCACCACATTTTTGTCTTTTATACATTTTGAGAATGGTGTGATGAAACCCTCTCTCTCTCTCTGTCTCAGAGTGAGAAAGAGAGAAAGAGAGAGCGAGGAGAGATGGGG